AATTTGGTGCAATTTGGTTTGAAGTAGAACATAAGGTTGACGGAAACCCGGGGACTGCGCCTACCTGATGAGCCCCAAGTAGGGCGAAACCGGTCGTGGGATGTCGACGGATTTTCATCAACCTTATGAGTAGTACATTACAAAGATAATTCAGTACCAGTTTTGTCCCGGTCGGGACCCATGAGGCTTCGATCGACTGGTGTCTAGATAAATAGCTGAAATCGCTAACAGCTTCTTACTATAACGAGTAGCGTGATATACCCAATATTCGTGGAATATCCGTGGAATAATTACAAATGAACCGAAGACCCACAGCACCAGCAGTCAGAGATCCTTTATCAGGGGCGTCAGACAAACAAGTTTGAACATGATGATCATGTGCTAGTAGAGCAGCATTAACGCACTTGTCGGACTTATAAGATAACTGAAGTTCGAATCCCATTCGGTACAGCCAGAATGGGCGTCACCGACGGACCAAAATGTAACCCGAATCTAATGTGTACTACTCCTTCGGCCGGAAATATACAGGATTATCGGGGTGGGAAAGAACTGAGTGCACATGCACAGTCCGCCGACCGGCAGACTCCCAACAGCATAATCAGTAGAGGATAGAAGTCGCGAAAACAACATAAAACTCTTGATTGAAGTCAATTTCTCGAAATTTACTTGTTCCGTAAATCTTGGAAGTCGATGAACCACGCAAATATGCATCGGTTGAAAAAGGTGAAGAGGAAAGGCAATAGAAATAGGGGAAAGAGGCTAGCATCGCCTGTATAGGTACTTTTGACCGACTGGCGTGACTCATGTTTCCCGAGAAAAAACCACCAGCGACAAATCACAGGCTGGGTCGGTGGAACAGACAAACCGAGCGAATGAAGAACCTACCAAAACTGGATCGAGTAGGAAAAGCGATATAGCGCGTAACGCGCATGTCATTTATATATACATAGGCATAGAGGAGACTTAAGCCAGGGCCACTGTTTTGGTTTCTCACGAAAAAGAATCCGGTAACTTTGTTTCAAATTTATGAAAGAAATAGGAGTAAGGTACATGGGCAAAATAATGGCAATAGTGGTAATGAGAATAAGAATAGGATATATTCTATCTGTTTGTACGAGCTTGTAAACTTATTAACAGCCTGAACAACCGGGCTCCGCTGAGACCGTGAATGAACTTTTGGACAGGGAAGGCATAAACGTATATACACGGTTGGGAGGGATTTAGATTCGGGTTTAAGGGGGCTCTGAGTGTTCTATTTGGCACGTCTCGCACCAGTTACATGACGCTTCTGACCGAAAGCCAATGCACTGGAAGTGGAAGGCGTCAGGCTGATGAACCTGGAAAACTGATTATCACGGTGGCTCACTGGAATGTGGGCGAGCTGCTGGCGCGAAGCTTTCGTCCCTTGTTTTCGAGACCTTCCAATGTTAGTGGGAACGGAATCCAGTCCTGACTGTTTTTCAGGTTCCTCCCACGAGCGATCTTCGCAGACGGTGCGTTGATGGAAGGCAAGGCTCTCACACATTGGTTGTGGTTTAGATGAGCATACCAGGTGCACCTCAGCCGGTTCAGCGGAGCTAACAGGGGAGACAGGTCGTAGACAGCGACGTTTGCTATCTTCGTGCTCGGCATGAGGAACAGTGGATTCAACGACAGAGCTGACTTTTCCATCCGTGTTTATCAGCGTGGATAGGGAGGCTCTGAATGAAAATGGAAAAATTTCGAAATTTCGAAATTTCAGAAAAACCCGACCAATAATGTGATTAGGAACAGGATAAAACGGGATTAAAAAGAAAAAAATTCGACAAAAAACTAACATGAATTCGGGGTCACGAAAATGATGCCGTAGCCTCCGCCTGCAGATTTGAATGTGTATTCAACAGGAATCGTGATGCCCAGACCAAATGGCCACTATGTGGATCAAGATTAAGGCCTGCTGTGCAACCGATACGTTCGATTTCTTCAGTACACCTTCGTCAAATGATTGGAGCTAGCATACAAAGAAATAGCACAATGTCGCCCCCGCAACACTAGGGCTTATTATTTCCCGTGCCGCCAACTCGAGACCCGAGTGTCTGTGCACGGAACAACAGAATACTTGTGTTATTACACTAAGAATAACAGAAAACATATCACTAGTATCCACAAGAGCGCAGAAATGTACTCGAGCTACGAACTAATAACGCAATCCGAGAAATACACCCATTTGCAAATCAATTTGGTTTTCACGAGAAACTCAACTGAATCTCTCCTTTATGATATCCTACGACTGAATGTGTTGCACACAGGCCGCCTCATGCTTCAGTTGGCACGATATTCGAGATGTCGCAGTATATGAATGAAGTGAAACTATTCACAAGGTTGCTGAGTGTATTTCTCGAAAACAGTCCAATTTGGGTTCAAGTAAAACACAAAGTTGACGGAAACTCGGGGACTGCGTCTACCTGACGAGTCCCAAGAAGGGCAAAACCGGTCGTGGGCTGTCGAAGAGTTTTCAGCAACCTTGCGAGTAGTTTCCTTTATGATAATAACGCAATTCTTATTTGACGAATTAACATAGGCAAAAGAGGATCAGTCTCACCAGCCTATTTCTTCAAACTTATTTAAGAGCAAACAGCTAAGCCGACTACTCCCATTAACTACGCATCGCAAACGCATAGTCTGTCTAGCGTTCAAAATATCAACACTGTAGTGTGTCCGTACACTGCTGTGAGAACAAAACTCATGTATGAATCATAACAAAAGGGCAATGTCGTCCACCAGAAGTATAACCTAAGTGATCTGATAGACAGCTAGTATAAAACACGTGAAACTTGATTGGTGACAACAAAAGGAAAACTAATGGGAAGTTTGACCAACTCGGATACCAGGATATGTATTGGAATGTGCCGGCTTCCAAGCAAGAAATCCCTGTTATCCACCTCAGCTTGCTTACTCAGTCAAAAGCCATGTAGAACGGAGAATTCGGATCCAGTTGCTACATCTTCCCCAACCGACAAATGGAAAAAGGGACAACTAGGCAGCGGAAACGATAATCAGCGAACAGTGCCCTAGCAGAAAGTGATATTGTCACTGCTATTGGACAGAAAATGATGCCTGCTTGTAGTATCGGTATATGCGGGATGGCTCAGTGGTTAGAGCGCGGGGTTACTGGCCTCAAGGTCCGTGGTTCGAACCCGACCTCTGCATCTCGACTTCCACTGGCAATTTGACAGTATCCCAGTACTCGTTCTTTCCTCGAGTGGCACGGCAGCTAGGCACCAAAACGCTGTTACGACGACATGTGCCTCAACGGACTGCATTTCTGACGCTGATGACATTTTATGTTGAGAACTATCCAGGTTCATCCGTCAAGCAAGAAGCACTGAAACTATCATCTTCGGAGGCGATATAAATGCTCAAGTCGATTGCCTGGGCTCCTCCGAACCACATCTGGGTGGTCAATTCGGAGTCGATGCTCATCACACAGGATGGCGCGCGACTCTTCCAAATGCGCTGTTTCTGGCCAGTATGAATTTTCAGCATAAACCATCGCACTGCATAATCGGACGACCACCAACTGTAAAAGAACCGTACGCACAATCGGATCGCGTGCCTGTCGGCCACTAATGGAGAACCGCATCCAAGACTGCAGTTCATTCTGGGGCACACAACTTGATTCTGATCACGCCGTGGTGTGGGCACGCCTGACAGTTCACTTTCCTTCGGGTCCTTCCAAGTCAGCAAGAAACATGCCAATCCACTATTTTCAGAGAGCTACCATGGATGAACATTATCGATCTGACATAGCTCAACTACCCTCTACAGTAAAGCAACATTGTACTGGTAGCGAACATATGGATGATGCATGGTAAAATGTGAAGGGAGCTGTGCTAGCGGTGTTCAAAGCGTCCGACTTCTCTGATACGACTAAATGCCTGCTGGATATCGTCCAGATCGCTAATCATGATGCGTGCCAGGAGTTCCATACTAGCGAACAACGAGCAAGACGGCGCACACAAATCCCTCAAACGCCAAATAGTCTAGGGAAGACCGAGAGGTTTGGTGGACATCGAAAGCCCACGAAATGGAAAACGTTTTTATTACAGGAAACAGCTGCGCCCTAAACCAAAGGAAATCAAATGGACAGTGTGGGGAAACATGGAAAAGACGGCTCATTAATTCACTTGCAAAAAAGCCGACTGGAAATATGGGCCGAGCAGACTATTTAATTGGCCTCCCGCAACACAGCCCCTGGAGATAGTGTGAGGGCGAATGCAATAAAAACCTTAATCGCCCATCGGAAGAATAAACAAAGTATGCACTATCCCTGCTGAGACGTGAGAAAGCACTGGGACCAGACGGTCTGTATCCAACCCTCTTCAAAAAGGTAGAGAATCCCTGGTTACCCATTTGACTAAACTTATTAGTACCATACGATGTGAAGAGTCTGCAGAGTGGGACACATCGACACTCATTCCTGTCTTCAAAAAGGGTAGGCGGGTGCCGTGGCATTAGCCTGGTAGCTGTGACATCATAGGTGCTCTCTGGCTTTATCCTTCGAAGGTTGACTGAACACAGAAAGGTAGATATGAGGAAATCAAGCAGAGTTTCATCCTGCAAGATGAATCGATCACATTTTCACCCTCCCACAGATTCTGACAACGCTTCCAGCAACAAACAGTGGTGGTACTCCTGGACTTGAAGGCTGTCTTTGACCCTGAATCGTCAGACACTACGGTAGCGTCCATGGACAAATTTGTCTACCTGGGCGGCTGTATCAGTCCCGATGATCTAGCCAAAGATAAGGTTTCCATCCAGATTGGGAAGGCCAGAGGAGCTTTCATGAACTAACATTAACTGCGAAGCAGGCGTAACATCAGCTTTTCTAGTTTACAATACTGTGGTGCACTCCACATTGTTATCGTCCAGCTGTAGCACCCTTTCGGTGCCTAACTACCACGCCACCCGAATGAAGGAGGGCTAGGATACCACCAGTTTGCCCAAGCCTAAGCAGGGGAGGTAGAGAGGCTGGGGTCGGGTTCGAACCACGGACCTTTCGATCAGTAAATTTGCGATCTAACCACTGAGTAGTCCGCAGTGTTATGCTTCCCACTTACAAAACGAGTACATATACTGAAATCACGTACTGGCATTAGGTCTACTGAGTTAAAAGAAAGGATAATTTGGTTTATTCCACGACGTGGTAGCTTGTACAGAGGACGATGACAAGATGGACTGGAATACATTAATTAAAGGATAGGGAGTGTTGATGGGGGTCAGTGGACGGATGTTAGGGCAACTGCTGTGACTAATAATGTAGGTGAAATTTACATATGAGATTTCTCTCTCAAATCACTATTAGGAGCATAATGAGTTCTAAAAAAAGTAGGCAATCCTTGAGAGATCACTTTTCCATACCCTCATAGGTTGGGTGAATCGCTTCGTTATTTTTTAACGACCACAATAACTCGAGTTTTTGGAAATGAACTCAATTCAATGTCGAACAGAAACTTACAGTTCCTCTGCCAAGACACTATATTCTCCAGGTTTGTCAGAATCTTTCGGCCTTTCGTGCAGCTCAGCCACAGCATCTTCCGTGGTGCTCGGAGTAAGAACTGGGCTTTCTTCGGTGTTGGATAACTCATCAGAATTGGATAATTCTTCCTTTGAACTTCCTACTGCATGGGTAGATGTCGTTCCATTGTCTCCACTGACTGGTTGGACATGACTTTGGCCTAACACCGGAAACTGACTAACGGAATGGGGCGGCTTAGCAACAGGGGCTACTGACTGTGAGGAAAGGGGTGCGTTGGGCTGTACAGTGGAAGGCAGTTGTAGGTGCAGTTGAGGTGGTATGGGAACGGGATTAGATACAATTATTGGTAAGTTCGTGGGCAAACCATAAGGGGGACGATGGGTGTTCGGTTATTAGGGACGCCTGGCCCCCGAACACCACCCGAATGAAGGAGGGCTAGGATACCACCAGTTTGCCCAAGCCTAAGCAGGGGAGGTAGAGAGGCTGGGGTCGGGTTCGAACCACGGACCTTTCGATCAGTAAATTTGCGATCTAACCACTGAGTAGTCCGCAGTGTTATGTTTCCCACTTACAAAACGAGTACATATACTGAAATCACGTACTGGCATTAGGTCTACTGAGTTAAAAGAAAGGATAATTTGGTTTATTCCACGACGTGGTAGCTTGTACAGAGGACGATGACAAGATGGACTGGAATACATTAATTAAAGGATAGGGAGTGTTGATGGGGGTCAGTGGACGGATGTTAGGGCAACTGCTGTGACTAATAATGTAGGTGAAATTTACATATGAGATTTCCCTCTCAAATCACTATTAGGAGCATAATGAGTTCTAAAAAAAGTAGGCTATCCTTGAGAGATCACTTTTCCATACCCTCATAGGTTGGGTGAATCGCTTCGTTATTTTTCAACGACCACAATAACTCGAGTTTTTGGAAATAAACTCAATTCAATGTCGAACAGAAACTTACAGTTCCTCTGCCAAGACACTATATTCTCCAGGTTTGTCAGAATCTTTCGGCCTTTCGTGCAGCTCAGCCACAGCATCTTCCGTGGTGCTCGGAGTAAGAACTGGGCTTTCTTCGGTGTTGGATAACTCATCAGAATTGGATAATTCTTCCTTTGAACTTCCTACTGCATGGGTAGATGTCGTTCCATTGTCTCCACTGACTGGTTGGACATGACTTTGGCCTAACACCGGAAACTGACTAACGGAATGGGGCGGCTTAGCAACAGGGGCTACTGACTGTGAGGAAAGGGGTGCGTTGGGCTGTACAGTGGAAGGCAGTTGTAGGTGCAGTTGAGGTGGTATGGGAACGGGATTAGATACAATTATTGGTAAGTTCGTGGGCAAACCATAAGGGGGACGATGGGTTGGCCAATTCATCGGGATTATGGACATCGTAGAAGTGGGCTGGATCGTCATGATGATAGGTTTCTGAGTAGGATCTGTGGGTACTTGGTGTGGTTTCAGTGCATCCAACAATCCTCGGCCATAGACACGGATTCGCTGCCGGCAATCCATCGATTCCTGAAGAAAATGTTCAAAGTAGGATTATGCAAATGACCCAATAGTGTTAACTCTCACGGACCATTCAATAGTTCCGAGCATCCTAGTCTAAACAGTTAGACACTGGCGTCTGTCTATGGACAGACTCAAATAAAGATGACAATAAACGAAGAGAAAGCACGTCACATCAAGTCACGGAACATCAATAGTTCCGAGCATCTAGTCTAAACAGTTAGACACTGGCGTCTGTCTATGGACAGACTCAAATAAAGATGACAATAAACGAAGAGAAAGCACGTCACATCAAGAAAGGCTGACGCACACTTCAGTTGAATTGAACAAGAACATACGCAGTCGTATTAAGTCGGATATGGAGTATGTACGGTGGGGTGCAAGAGAGGGAAATTGCCTTTTTCTCATGAACCTTCTAGTATCCGCTACCGTAGATCAAATCGGATTACGAATTAGGACGTGAAGCAAAGTCCGGTTCGCTCAGGCATGACTGTCTCGTTTACCCCTCTGAGACAGTCTGATTCATCAAAGTACCACGGTGCTTCATAAGCCTCCACAGTATTCAAGTTACCCAAGATGCGCATTGCATCCTTTGAACTAATTTTGTAAGCAGGGCTTTTCCGAAACCGATCTCAGAATTCGATACGCTTCACTCATAACTCATTAATAAGGTGGTCCCGACATGAAACCAGTTCAGCAAAATTCAGCACACCTCGGTAAATTTAACTCTGGGGAATACGGGGGAAATATGCGTTCTATAGGTAGCGTGAACTAGGAACACTGTTCCAACTAGCGTACAACAACCTGACGAAGCGTAGCAATGTGAGAGGCCAATAATCCCCGGATTTCCAACCTGGTTGGACTGCGATAAGCAGTTCCGATCTCCGAATGGCATTTTCCCCCTCACAATCAGCAACTCTGTGATCAAGCAGCTGGGTGATCCCAAACCACTTTCGGCATTAATAGCATACACAGCGGTTAAGGCGCGAATTTACTGACCAAACTACAGTTTTTGTTTCGACTTGGGTAGCCTGGCGGTAGTCCACTCCTGCTGACTCCCTCGAGCGGCATGGCAGTTCCGTACCGAAAGGGTGTCGCAACTGAACAATCATTGTTATTTATTTACCTTTCAGTTGCGAGTAGTTGTGGAGTGTGAACTTTGTATCCACACACTCCTGAACTGGCGTAGTGAACCTGAGTCCATTGCTTCCCCATCTGCGGTAGACTAATAGAACTGTTTGAACGAAAATGATATGGACACAGTCAATCGTTGAACTGAGAAGATTCTGATGAGAATTAACCGCAGTTTGAGAAAATTACGCGATCGTGGCCGCCTGTTAGGAATGTGCTCATGAAAAGCTCCAAAAGGAAATAGAGGTCATTTGCTATTCTACGCAAAAATTGAGGGAACCGTGGTATATCAAACGTAGAATTGGGGCGAGAGCACCTGTAACCCAGATGCAACCTACTACTGCAACAAAATATCCAATGAAACCGGCGTTTTTTCATTCACCATTATGGAAATGATATAACTGAGACAAAAGTAGACTGAGTAGTGGGTGTCGAACAACATGACTGGTTACGAAGCGAAACCGAAGTGCACGGGGTTGACACCAAAGGATGGCTGTCTTAAAGGGCAAGTAAAAACCCACCTTCGATATCCGAATAATTCGACCGAGAATGGATATCTCCTTTCGACTGTGTAGGAACTGATAATGCGGCAAGACTGCACTGCTCAAAACGAGATAGGCATACTCAAACGCCTGCTTGACCAACATTGCTTGGTAAGATCGCCTTCCAACATCGTTGCCTTTGGAAAACACATCCAAAAAAAGTTCGAAAAAGTGGGTTAGGTGCTTGGTCTGGTTTCAGAGCGATTGTCATCGAATTGAAAAAGGTACTTTTGGGGTCGAGTGCCACTTCAGAGTTGGGTAAATGAACTATTTGGGATCCATACAAGCACTACATAACGGGCTCCCTCAAACAAGTGACCTAAGTAGTACACTCAACGACAGTGCTACGCAATGTGAGGGACGCGCAGGGATTGGTTCCCCCTACATACTACTACCAACATACTACATACATACTACCCCTTACAAACTAAGAACCGCGGAAAATACGGGAAAAAAATCGGGTCAACTTGAAACATCCGCAATCCAATATCTTATATCACAGCCAGCTAGTCGCTCTGCGTACTGAGCAGTACGGACAGGACCACAGCGGAAGCACACCACACAGAAGCCATGCTAGCAGGCGCAGCCTCAAGAGTAGAGTAACCCAAGCTGTTTTGTTTTTCCAACCTAATGAACAACGGTAAGTAATCACCATTAAAATATGACACTCCACCTGACGACAATTTCTGCAAAAAAAATTGCTCTAATACGACCGCCTAGTTGTGCACGACTGTTGCTCATCCGTCCTAAGTATTTCGGACCAAACATTATGAATACTTCAGCTATCTTTCAACTTCAAATCAAGAGAATCGCGAACTACAGTATTCAGTTCGTGAGATGTCTAACTTCACGCGTAGCTATCTACCCCTCCCCCCTCCAAATCACCGGTGAACGAAACTGCGGCAGCTACAACCACTGTACGGCGAGTACGCGGTTATTACAGCTGACAATGGTGATGATGATGACGCGTTCAGTTTGGTCAGTCGACTCGATAACCACAGATTGAAAGCATGCATTTTGGTGCGGAATGCTAATAAAGGTAATAGTGAAGCTAAGAACAATAAGAAAGTTGAAGGCCATCTAGTGGAAACACCAGACTCTTTTGCTGAGCTCATAAACACCTAAGTCTACTCCATGTGAGGACTGGTGCTCAATCAGCTGCGTATGCATCCGCACACACCATACTTGGGCGCTGAGAAGCTTTCGGATCCCAATGAGAAGCAAACTTACCAAAACCACCTACTGAAGTCCCTTTTCGACAATACGTCTTCCGATATTCACTGCTACTGGAAAGTACTGTCTGCAACCCTGAATAAAAGCACTTGGAGAGCTCTGCAAAAGCTTTCCTACAAGCAGTGGTGTCCGCCACTCCCTGCATTTTTGTTTAATTTCATTATTGATGAGTTAATGAGGCGAAATCCGAAAATCCGGTGTTCAGATCTTTCCGAGTGAGGACCGTGACGGCCTGGAATAAGCAGACGATATTGTTCTTATTTTTGAAAAAAGAGCGGGAAGCGCAAGAATTACTAGAAAACCTGACCAAGGTCGTCCAATCCCTCGGCATGTGTTTCTTACTCATAAAGTGCAAAGTCATGCTGCAGGACGCATAACCCTTAAACAAGTCTTTAAGAATTCAACAGGAAACACTGGGAGTTATGAAACACTGTACGTATACTGGGGGTTGAACCAGCTCTGAGAGCTCAATGAAGTGAACATACGAATCTCAAAGGGCATAACTGCTTTTGCAAATCTGCGCCACTCGTGATACCAACAAGACATCATCATCATCATCATTGTCAGCTGTAAGAACCGCGTACTCGTCGTACACTGGTTGTAGCTGCCACAGTTTCGTTCACCGATGATTGGGGGGGGGTAGGTAGCTGCGCATATCAATGGATCCCAAAGGACAAGTGTACCAAAGTACAGTGCGGACTGTTGTATGGTTTCGAGATTCTGCCACTTCGCGCGGAGGATCTAAGACACGTCCAGATCTTTGGCCACCAATATCTTAGAAATTTAAGTGGAATCAGCAAATTCGCGATGTGATCAGAAAGCGTGTTTTGGCGAAGCAGAAGACACTTCACTCAAAAAATCTATCTAGCAACGCAAACTAAAGTGGTTGGACCGAGTTACAGTCTGCCGAGAAGACCGTTGTCTTTCACTTCGAAGTGGCGGAAACTTAGAGGTGGAGAGAATATGACACAGCGGAAGGGGAAGTTGCTATGAAGAGTTTGCGCGCTGTTGGTGGCGTTCGACTCCCAGGGTGGGATTCACATGACCCTACCGGCACTTGACTGGACACTGTGAGAGCTCGTGGCCAATCGATGGCAGTGGCGTTCATGCTGGCAGTTTCTATCTGGATTCTCTGACTGAAAGTTGGAGGTGTAGGTACCTAGGATGTTTCTGGTACGCTAGCTTTAGGTCTCCCTGATCCATTTTTCTACTTTCCATCATAAGGATTCACCAAAATAAAATGACACGGTCGTGTGGCAAAAATCCACCAGTGTTCTCCTTTGGTGTTGCCGTCAATGATGATAGGTATGTAGGCATCCGCCTTGGTTTGGTCTTCCTGATCCCTCCCACAGGAGCTTGCCCACACAATCGAGTGTTTTCCGGCAAACTTAAGTGTGAATCTGTTACGTGCCTCACGTACTTTGGAATACTGCCTCTCAAATTAATCATACAGACTTACCAGAGAATCCACGGAATTTCTCGCAATTAGTATGCATCTGTTTGCAGTATTGTTCCCTGAACTCAGTAAAAATCATCCTCCCTAACGGCTCAAGTGTCTGGCTCAGTGTCGTTGTATGCATAAACGTGGACCTGATAATTCTTCACCCAAATCCGCACGTGGTACCTTACTCCTTGAAAGGTGCCATAAATGGAAATCAAAACGTATCGATCGCAAGGCTGAAAGTTTAATGAATCTGAACAGATTCATTCCTTCTGGAACCTAGCCAGAGTAGTCAGTAGTGATCGTCGTGCCCTCCCATTTCCGATGCCCATGGTTTCCACAAATCTCACTCCTAATGTGAAGTGGATACATTGAGTCACTCCTCAGAACCGCAACATTCCTGCAGCACTTGCATATCGCTCATTAACACACCCGGAATTGCCCATTTCCACGAGCAGCGCTTACCGACTCCTACATTTGAAATCTCCAAACCTTCTGTCCTTCGTGATAATCCTTATTCTTTCCAAACTAGGCCTCATGGTTCAGCTCTTCAGTTTGTCCCTCTAGTCTAGTCCGAATCCCCCAATTTCTGAGCGTGACACCCGCTCATCTCATTCCGTCACCTCCAATCTCTCCATAAACTTGAATCTTCGCCCGTCTTGATCGCCCAAAGAGAGCTGCCGGGGACGGAGTTCTGTTTGCCATCTTGTCACAACAATGCTTCACCCGAAGTGAAAATTGCAGTGATTGCTAAACGTGACAGCCGGGTTGATGGACCATCAGTGAGCCATCTAGGTAAGCTGGCTCATCACTGATTTCAAACTACCTATATGTCGCGCATGAAATAAGTATAATGATGCAGTTCAACTTTAGTTTTCACGTGACTACAACACAGTCTGATCAACAGCTACATGGCTGCACAAACTTGTGGAAGTGTGGACTAAGAGATCAGGTGGTGTGGGAGTTTTGTCAGCTCTACTGCAGGTCAGCGGTTATAAACTATGCAGATACCAGCTCAAAAGAGCGGAACTGAATTGAGGGCTCAGATAAGAAACTTCAGTGAAACCGACGATAAATTTCTAAGCAAAAAAACTGGCCTATCTTCTTGGGAATCCGCCGCGACACAGTGGAAAAGGCCTTGTGTGCTTTGTGGTTAAGTTGTCCAGCCAGAAGATATCTGCATAGCAAGTCCAGAACATAATTAAGCAAAATCTGAGAAAAGTGATGGACAAAAAGTAGAGTAAAAGTAAGAAGCATTTACAGTTGCCACAAATGACGTGATATTAGCTCACCAGGACAGAGAGGATCTTCGATGCACAGGATAGAAGGGCGTACGCTGTGAACCATGTTTTGAAGGACCACTTCCTTTTGAACGTACTCCCCACGGTCCGTCACCCGAATGGCCGTTTTAGAGTAGTTGAAAAGCCTGCCGTAAAGTTCGAAGAATTCTAGAAGCAGAGTGCCTAGATTCACGTTTTCTGATACCCATTTGGAGGAAATTGTGTCCTATTACAAGAGGAGTGTAAATAAGAATGCGACAAATAACCAGAAAGAAAGCCATGTTCAAAAACAGACGGTAGACTCAACGATCAGATACATAAGAGGGGGTGGAAAATGCGGACTAGAACGCAGCATTACCTCTCACCAATATGCATAAAATCTGGAAGTAAAAGTCGAAAGTCAATATCCAGGGAATGACAAGACCGAGGTACAATTTGGTAAACCAACCTGACTTGTGCCCTGATTTACTGCACGGTGGCGTGCATGTAAGAGCCTCCGAGCATCCGGCAACGAAAAGGCGTGAAAGAGATCACGGGGAGTTTGGGTGTTGTTTGTGTTGTATGCCGTCTGTGCTTGGTTGGAGAAGTAGCGGCTAACCGATCTCAGTGGCGTTCTTGCTATCAGTTTCTCTCCAGATTGATTGAGCGCTTGAAGGCGTAGGCACCTCAGAATGCTTGACAGAGGCCACCACTAGGTCCCCTCCCCCACCCACTCTCCTCTTCTCACTCTAGGGACTTAAATAAGGTTAGACGAAACTTATGATTGTAAGGCAGTGAAGCACCAGTATCAACGCTGTGCGGTTGTCTGGCTCAGTTAAGATTAACCCAGGTCGATGCGGCGAACGGTTTGCTGTATCAGCATACGCCCCCAATGAGACTGAGGGCGTGTCTTATCGAGATCCGTTACGACTGCTTCAGTCGGCAAGAAGGACGGATACAATCCTGGCCGGTGATATGAATGCCGAAGCACCAGATCAACGCTGTACGGTTGTCTGGCTCAGTTAAGATTAACCCAGGTGGATGCGGCGAACGGTTTGCTGTATCAGCATACGCCCCCAATGAGACTGAGGGCGTGTCTTATCGAGATCCGTTACGACTGCTTCAGTCGGCAAGAAGGACGGATACAATCCTGGCCGGTGATATGAATGCCCAAGTTGAACGACTATGTCCAGAGGAAGCACGTTTAGGTGGTAGATTTGGAGTCAATGCTGAGCGTACGGATAATGGGGAGCGGCTTCTTCAGTTACGTGCAGATCATCGTCCGTTCCTAGCCAGTGCGAACTTCCAACACAAACGCCCACATCGGGTTACTTGGAGACCACCTACCACAAGACAGCCGTCGACTCAACTGGACCACGTGGCTATCAGTTACCGATGGAGAGCATCAGTTTAGGACTGCCGTTCCTTCTGGGGTACACAACCTGACTTTGATCACGCCATCGAGCGGGCCCGGTTGCCACCACTTTGCTCTAGCATTACGTGTTCAAAAATGAGAGCGGTTTCGTTGATTACTTCGACAAGTTTCAGTAGGTGAAGAGTATTGAGCACAGTCATACGGGTGACGAAGATTGCTTGGAGGTTGAATGGAGGCGAGTTAAAGAAGTAATGTTTTCAGCTTTCAGATCTGTTTGTCCAGATAATCTGGCTCGACTAAAAAACCTGCCCAGCCGTAACACCCCTTTGGTGCCTAGCTGCCATGCCACTCGAAGGAGGCACGAGGACTGGGATACTGCCAGGCTGCCCAAGGCTAGATAGGAGTCGAGAAGTAGAGGCCGGGTTTGAACCACGGACCTTCCGGTTAGTTAATTCGCACTCTAACCACTGAGCCATCTCTCTCGACTAAGTGAACGCTGGATATCGTCGAGATCAGCAGATCTTATTGCTGCCAGGAAGACCAGATCAGCAACTAGCGACTACGATGGCGCACGCAAATCCCTCAACCGGGTAATCAGACGCTTGAAGAATTACAGAGAACACTGTTGAGTTTGGAAGGCCCATGAGATGGAGGCTTTCACTGCAGGCAAAAGCCGCGCCGTTTCAACGGATTTGATCAGCCGGTCAAAAGGCAGATGTCGATGAAACAGTGTGCGACAAAGACAGGACGGTAATTCACTCCCTCACCTTTTGTGTGGTGTGCTGAGCATTTCAAATAACAGTTCAGCTTGTTTCCTCCAACACGATCGCTGGAAAAACCCAGCTGACCTGAATGAAATATTGACACCAACCCACCATCAGCAACCGAAATCCAGCGGGAGATATCGATCATGAAGCGCAACAAGGCACCTGATCCGGATGATCTGCAACCCGCAGTCTTCAAAGACGGTGAGGTGATGGTGAACAGGTGAACTGCAGAAGAGTTGGAACGAAAACAGAATACCAGTCGAATGTAGCTTCTCGATCGTCACTACAGTTTTCGAAAAGGGCGCAAGAACGCCATGTAAAAACTATGGTGGTATCGGCTTGGTATCCGTCGCATCTAAGGTGCTCTTTAGCACTGTTTTGCGCAGATTGACGGATTATCCAAGAAGATTCATGAGAACCAAGCTGGGTTTCACCATGGTCGAGGATGCATCGACCGTATCTTTACCTTCAGACGAACTTCTGAACAGTGCCACTCCCTGAGACGTCCGACGTTGGTCGTTTTTTCCAAATCTGAAAGCTGCTTTTGATTATGTCAATCGTCACAAACTTTGGCAGTGTCAGGCCATCAAAGGTTTTCTTTGAAAATTTATATCCCTTGTCAGAACATTGCTTGCGAACCCCTGTGGGCACTGTTCGGGAGGTCAGGTCCTAACGAACAACTCTGCCCTTTGTAATATTCCACTGAGATTGCATTTTCTGTTGTAGCCAAATGAGCTGCAGTGCTCTTTCTTCCATTGGTTTATCTGCAATACAGCCGATCTTCATCTGGTGTCCCTTGTCTTCTTCCTTCAGGTCTTTCCCACCTAAGTAACTAGACTATCAAAGTGATAGAATAAATTCTATCAAGCTCCTAAATAACCCAGCTAGCTCACAGACAACACTGGTGACGGGCTTCCCACGACGTCAATTTTATCTGATCGAATCCAGATGAGTCTGGAACACCATCAAAAACACTTTGAGCACGCGCAACTGCAGCAACAGAAGCAATTTGAGCACACGCAGCTGAAACTCATGCAGGCGCTGACCAAAAATCTGAGTAATCAGGCAGTGAAGTATTCAGAATTCAGTATTCACGGCAGTGAAGCATAGGTGATGAACACTGATGTCATGCTGTCGATGATGATGATTCAGGCTCCAGAAAGCAGCAAATGTCAACCACCAGTTTCAACTGCAGACCCTCTATCACCGAATTTACTTTTGACGCGGAAGCAGATCGAACCTTCGACTCTTGGTTCAAAAGGTACCAAGACATATTCCATGTTGATTTCGCCAAGCAAAATGACCCACGGAAGGTACGGTTTTTAGTTAGAAAACTTGGCACACATGAAAATAACCGCTACATGAATCACATACTTCCCAAATGGCCCAGTGATCTCAGCTTCGACAGCACTGTCCAGAGCCCCACGAAAATCTATGGCGACAAGACGTGCTTGTCCAACATCAGATAAGGGGTGAGTTTGTCGGCTTTACAACACTTGCCGATCGAGAATGCGAGCGTTTCAAGCTCAGTGATATGGAAGAAAATCAACTCACATGCCTTATATTTATAACTGGATTTCGCATCCTGCAGAAAATTTGTCACACATCCCATGAATAATCATCTTGTCCGTCTTTAGCTCGACACAGCCTCAGAAACAGACACAACAGGCGCCTACGAGTATACGGGAAGCTCTCACCTAAGTTCACCATGTCCAGTAGTGTGAGACAAGGCCGTCCCCATTCACTTTTGTTATTGATATGCTGCTTGAGATTTCTCCGCTTGCCTATGAAAACTCAGGAGTCGAAATGCTCCCGGGACGCACGCTCACAAACATTGAGTATGCGGATGATATTGCTCTCCTTCGTTCAGACGATTTCAAATAAGCTAAATAACTCCTCCACACGGTTTGGATTGCATTTCAAACCTGCAAAAAGCTGCTACAAGACAGGATGGAATTAAACCCGTGCTTGCAGGCGAGTTATTCTAAGCATTAAATAAATTTGTTTACCTAGCCAGTTGTATAAGCTGCGGTGGACCGGCTGGGGATCAGATTACTTCCCGATTACTTCTTGGCGTTACCCATCCTCCGACACCTACAACGCCGACGTGACGTCAGTTTGTCTGTTAAGGGAAGAGTTCACACTGCGGTGGTGCGATCCATACTGCTTCATGGATCAGAAAAGTGGCCCCTACGTGCAGAGGACATGAGGAAGATGTCAGTGTTTGACTATCAGTGTCTCCAGATCACTCGTCAGGTCTAGTGGAAACATCGGATTAGCAATGCTGAGGAACGCCAGATGTTCGTAGGAAGAAAAAACTCTCTCGATAGATAAATTACTCACGATTCATAGGTTACGCTGGTTAGGACATGTACTCCGCATGCCAGAAGACAATCTACCTCGCAGTTTTACCCCAGCACTGTGCTGATTGAAAGCGGCCGAGAGGTATGTTGTTGTGAATTTCATGGTTGTACGAAGGCTGGGATACTCACAACAACATATGAGGTATGACCTGCAAACGAAGTACGAAAACATTGGCCAATAACCTTGGTCGGGTGGACAACTGCCGCCTGCCTGGATGGGAACCCCGG